GACTCAGTAACGTGGTCTGGTGGTCTGGTGTCCTCTGCGTCTTTGTAGTGTGGAACTAGGTGGCTGTACAGAGGAGCAGGGGCTGGGAGGGGGGATCCAGTGGATTGTTGCCGGGGCGCGGGCTGATTCGGCGTCTTCTGCGCGACTCGGGACCTCAGCAGGGCGTGCGCAGACCTGCCTGACTGCAGCGGGCTGATTCGGAGTCTTCTGCGCGACTCCGGACACGCTAGGTTCTATTATCACTGGTCGCTTTTAAACCTGACATTTGGGGGCTTTCGGCTCTGAAGCCCCCTGCCACATCATGGTAGCGGTCTATTCTCTTTCTTTTCCACCTTTTCCCATATAAAACCATCTTTTGTTTTGTTTTGTTGGTACCAGCGATCGAACTCAGGACCTTGCTTGCAAGGCAGGTGGTGGCACCATTGTGCTAAATCCCTGGCCCCTAAAACCATCTTTTGTTATATTAAAAACAAATAAATCTGACATTTCTCACTACTTTTTCTCATATACAAAAATAAACAGTAGTTACGATAAAGATATATACTGAAAATCTACAACTATGAGAATATCAGAAGGAAGTAAACTTTTTTTTTTCCAGTACTGGGGATCAAACTCAGGACCTTGCACTTGCCAGGCAGGCGCAGTACCACTGAGCTACATCACCAGCAGGGAAGTATTTTAATTAAAAAAACCTAAAAAGCCACAGGCAGATTTAGCAACCTAAAACTTAAATTTCTTTGTAAGGATAGACACCATTAAAATGGTTAAAGATAACTCCTGGCTTTATCTTTCTTATTCGTTTTACCCAGCACTTTTCAAAATGGTCTTTGCAGCGAGGCATGATAGTGCACGCTTGTAATCTCAGTTCTTGAGAGGCTGAGGCAGGAGGATCACCACAAGTTTGAGGCCAGCCTGGGCTACACAGTGAGTTCAAGACCAGCCTGAACTACGTAGGGAGACCCTGTCTAAAACAAAACAAAAAACAAACAACAATAACAACAAATGGGCTTTGTTCTCCTTGCAATTACTCCTTTCCAATGTAAATTTTAAAAACCAATTTAAGGGTTAGCAATGTGGCTCAGTGGTATAGTACTTGCCCAGCATGTATGAATCCCTGGGTTCAATTCCCAGGACAGAAAAACAACAGAAGCCTGTAATGCCAGCTACTCAGCAAGCAGAGACACCACAACGACCGGCAAGTGTAAGGCCAGCCTGGGAAACTTACCAAATCCTTATCTCAAAACCAAAAATAAAAAAGGGCTAGGGATAGTGCAGAGGTAGAACACTTGCAGGGCTGGTGCTGTGCCTGCCTGGCAAGCGCAAGTCCTGAGTTTAATCCCTGTTCTACGTGGGAGGGGGATAGAACACTTGCTTAGCACATTCAAGACCCAAAGCACAGCCCACCACTAACCACACCCCCATCCATTCTGCCCTCGATCGGTACCAAAAAAAAACAAAAAAAAAGAAGCTGATAGATAAGAAGAGTAATACCGGGCTGGGGTTTTAGCTCAGTGGTTCTGCCGCCTGCCTCGAAATCACAAGGACCAGAGTTTGATCCCCAGTACCAAAAAAAAAAAAAGAAGAAGAAGAGTAATATCTACAAGATGAAGAGGATTTTTGTCAATCAATAACAAATGATCTACTGTATTTTCATGGGCAAAGAATATGAACAGGCAGTTTACAAAAGCAATTAAAATGAGCAGATACTCAGGAGGCTGAGGAAGGAGGATCTCACAAGTTGAAGGCTAGCCTGGACAATGTAGTAAGACCCCCCATTGCAAAACAAAAAATAAAAAAAGGGCTGGGGACGTAGCTCAGTGGTAGAGAGCCCCTGGGTTTGATGGGTGGGAGAGAAGAGATGGCTAACTTCACTATTAATGACATATTAATGACATGCAAATTAAAATAAAATAATATTTTCACTTATCAAATCAGTAATTGTCAATGGGCATGGTGGCGCATGCCTATAATCTCAGCACTCAGTAGGCTGAGGCAGGAGGATCACTTCAAGTTCAAGGCCAGTCTGAACTACATAGCCAGACCCTGTCTCAAAAGAAGAAAAAAGAAAAATCACTGTCTACACAAAGCACAACATCCAGTTTTGCCAAGGTAGTAAAATTCACACATGGTCCTAAATGAGCATGTACATTCACTTTTACTACAAACTTTGCAAGTTTGTTTTTTTTTTTTGTACAGGGGATCAAACTCAAGATCTTATGTTTGCAAGGCAATTGTGGTGCCACTGAGCTAAATCCCCAGCCCTGCAGCAAACTTTTGAAACTCAATTTCAGACTCTATTAAAATTTAAAAGGCACATATTCTATCCATGAATGCAAAAAATATAACTGTATATGGATGTTCATTATAGCATTGTTTAAAAGAAAAAAAAATACGGGAACTAACCTAAAGGTTCATCAGATGGGACTATGTAAATAAAATAAACATAGGCCGGGGATTTAGCTCAGTAGTGCCATGCCTGCCTCGAAAGCTCAAGGTCCTGAGTTTGATCCCTGGTACCGGAAAAATAAATAAATAAATAAACAAACATAAAGTGGAATTATGTGCAATTCTTTTTGATTTTGGTGTTCTGAAACAGGGTCTTCCTATGCAGTTCAAGTTTTCCTTGAACTCACCTGACAGCCCAGGTTGGCCTAGAACTCACAGAGATCCTTTTGCCTCAGCTTTCTGAGTGCTAGGATTACAGGTGTGTGTCACCCCACCTGGCCAGTTCTGTGCAATTTTACAAATTTTTTTTTCCTTTCTGAGAGAGTCTCACTATATTGCCCAGGCTCATTAGTTCAAGCACTCCTCCTGACTCAACCACCATGTATAGCTGGGACTACCGGCATGCAACACTTTGCCCAGCTCTTGTTATGAAATAATTTTTAAAATGTAGGAGATTGGGGGTATGGCCCAATGGCAGACCTCTTGCCTAGCATAGGCAAAGCATGGGTTTGATTCCCAGCATTACATTCCCAGCACAGAAGGGAAAAACAGTGAATGGATGGGCTAGAGTCCTAGCTCCATGTGCAGGCAAGAAAGGTCTTGGGTTCATCTCCAATATCATAGGGTAGGGGAGAACTGGCATACATGTCCAAAATACACTGTGGCACCTTATAGGTACTCAATAAATATGCACCAGATAAAAACATTTTTATATAAATAGAAGTCTGGAGGTATACAGTATACCAAACTGATAAGATTAGTTACCAGGAGCATAGGATAATACAGGGGGAGACTAAACATTTTTAGATTTTATATTTTTGTACTGGATAGATCAGTAAAAGTATGAACTTTTTTTCCAATTAATTTCTATCCAGGTGTGATGACCCATACCTGTAACCCCAGCACTCAGGGGCCTGAAGCAGGAGAATCGCTGCAAGTTGCAGGCCAGCTAGACTACATAGCAAGTTCAAGGCCAACATGAACTACACAGCAAGACCTTGTTTCAAAAAAAAAAAAAAAAAAAAGAATTCTGGTGACTCTCTCTTCATTTTATCTCAACTTTAGGATGATCCTGAGAGTACAAGAAAATTCCTTTTATGTCTCCAAGTGTACAAAGCTCAGGAAAATAAAATTTATGTACAAAATACCTGTTGGTAAGACTTTATTATAAAGATTTTTTTTTTTCCAATATCATTGGTTTTCCTAAACTCACAACCTGATAGTGCCTACAGGAGAAATTAGGACTTTCTGGGGATTTAGCTCACTGGCGCTGCACCTGCCTCGAAAGCGCAAGGTCCTGAGTTTGATCCCTGGTACCAAAAAAGAAAAAAGAAATTGGGACTTAAACGAAATCGACATTTCCATCTCTAGGACCCCTCCTAAGGGCCAAAGGTGGGTGGCAGAATTTGAAGATGGGCTCAATTTTCCGTTTTCCTAATGCAACCTGGCGCAAGGTCCAACCCACATAGCAAAGTTTCCAACAAGAGTAGTCTACTGCGAGGAGGCCACAATTAGACCACAATTTAGGCTACCTAAAATAAAGGCGGAAAGGTAAAAGACAACCAGATGCCAGGACCTGAGCCGGGTGGCCTCAGGCTATTCAAGAAACACCTCTGAGAGAGCACTCATTTTCAGATTGTGGTTGATCCCAAAAGGCAGGGCTTTGCAAAGAAAGTTCACTTCGCTTCAGCCGACCCCAACATCTACAGGGCAAGCTCCGATGACAAGCTTAGAGAATGACAAACCTGGCCAACTTCAGTGACAAGATCGGGAATACGATCTACTCTGGCTTCTACTTGGGGCGATTGGCCCAGGAATGATGGAAGGCAGAAGAATGGAGATTCTTCAAGAGCTTTTAACTGGCTCACCCACCAAACCCACACTGAAACAGCTTTCAGTGCCACGCGATTTCCGGATCCTGGTTCTTGCCCTCATTCAAGATGGCGGTCGGGATTCGTCCACATCACTGCGCACGCGCCGGCTCTCAGCACGCCCCCTCCCATCCTCCCGCGCGCGGCCCCACCCACTCGCCAGCTGCTGCACTCCGCGTGTCCCCAACCTCACCTCCTTTCTGCCTGCCCCCGCCTGTCCAGACTCCCAAGCCCGGAAGTGGATGTTGCCGCTCGGCGGAGAGGACGAGGGGGAGGGGGAAGTGCTTCCGGGGAAACGGGCCCCGGGTTGGTGTTTGTAAACTTGCCTCGGTCCCGGCGGGGGCAGCGGCGGACGCGGGGTTGGCACTGTGTGCTGGGGCCTGGGGGGAGGCGCCGCGCGGCGGGGGAGACGGCGGGAGGCCGTGCCTCGCAGGTAAGCGCACGCCTTGGGAAGCGCACCGTCGTCCGACTGGACGACAGCGCTTCAGCTGCTCGCAGGCCGTGGGCGCCGCGCGGGAAGGGGGAGGGGAGGGGAAGGGAGGAGGGGCGCGTGGCGGAGGGAGGGAGCCTCGGGCGCGCACCGCCTCCTGCCCGCCCGCCCGCGCCGCCGCGTCCCCGTGTCCCCGTGTCCCCGGCCGGGGAAAGGGGGGCTCGCCTTGAGGGGACGCGGGCGCGAGCACGCACCTCGCGCGCTGCTCGGCCTCCTGCTTTCTTCCCTGTTGCTGCGGCTGGTGCTGTGGCTGCTTGGCTGGCAGGAGGGAGGGACGTGCGGCACAGCTCTTGGCCTCGGCTGCCCGCCCGCCCTCCACTTCCGTAGCGAGTTTCCGTACCTTCGGGCGAACTTGGAGAACGCGCACGTGGGGACACTGCAACTCCGGTGCCCACCGCCTCAGCACTCAGTGATGGCCTTCCTCCACCCGGGCTCTGCCCGCCTCCTTGGAGTACCAGCTTTGCGGGCCGGCCCACTTGGCACAAAAACCCCGAAAGGCCTCCGCCCCCTTCTTCCATTCCTAAGGTGGCAAATCTGAGCAGCTAGCCTGTTGTCGGAGTTCTTCCTTAGGAGGCCCCAGTTACCTTTGCTCCTGTTGGCTGTCGCTTCTTGCCCAGGAGTCCAGTTTCTTCTACTCACCTAGAAAGAAATCTCTTCCTGACTCGTTCTCTTTATGAGCGTCACAGAGTGCCAGAGTGACCCGCAAAAAAGTTCAGCGTGTTAAACGGCGTGTGGCCTGAGAATGTTGCACTTAAGGGCCCCGTCTCCCTTTCTGATTTCAGGTTTCTGGAGCAGCTCAAGAGCTTCATCAAGAGAATTCAACTGGAAAACTAAGACTGGCAGACTTTGCTTTCTTCAGACAATAGGCAGAAGGCAGACAGAAACCAGGGATTCTTGGAACACCTGTTTTCCTTTTGGAGGACACTAAGGTCTTTTGGAAGATAAAAGCAAGTCAATATGGAAGCAGGACTAAAAGGACATGAAGGAGCCATTACTGTGATTTGGTGACAGTTCTTCAAACAACAGTGTCTTAAGGAAAGGTGGATCAAGGAACTCCTGAACTTTTGGGTTCCATTAAGTAATCAGCATGGCTCAGGTAAAAAGCTCTAGAATCCTTCAAGATCACTGGGATACCTGTTTGCAGATTCACTCTTGAATGCTGCCTTAGTCAACAATATTGACCAACCCCAGTGAGCCAAGCTCTGTATTAAACACCAGGGGGAGATCTAGAGGAAGGAAAGGAGACAGGCCACAGCCCCTGCCTTCAGGGAGCTTCCAGTCAAATGAAGGAGGTAGGCCATACTACATCCCAGACACTGGGGGCGGGGGGACTCAGTATCCATTTGGTACATTAAGTGCTGAGGGGAATAAGGGAGTGGAGAGTTGGGTGAATGCTTCGTTTTTTGTTTTTTTTTTTAAACAAGGATTTATTGAACTTTTGTTACATGCAAGGCATTGTGCTGAGAATACAAAGATGATTGTCCTTACCCCAGTAAACCTCCAGGCTAATTGGGGTGGGGGTCATCTATTTTTATATTCACAAGCCTTTGCATAGTGACTTGCCAATAGTAGAGGCTATGAATCTGTTGATTGAAGGAATGTGTAATAAGAGTTGTGTATACTGCGGAGTGGTACTTCTGCCTGGATGGAAAAATGAGAGGAAGTTTGAGGGATGCACAGGATTTTGCTAAACAAACAAAGAAAGGTATTCGCCCAAGGAAAACTGTGGGCAGAGGCTTAGAGGTATAGAAGTGTGTGGTGAGCAAAGGGGTACTGCAGGTAGTTCAGTGCTTACAGAGCAAAACATGTAAGTGAGGGTTGTGAGGGAGAAACATAGTAGATGACAATGGTAGGGGAGTTGTTCCTTGGTGAGGTAAGGCAGAGTACAATCCGCAGGCCTTTTATGCCTTGCTAAGGAATTAAGCTTTGGGCTGGGGATTTAGCTCAGTGGTTCTACCACCTGCCCTGAAACCGCAAGGTCCCAAGTTCGATCCCTGGTACCAAAAAAAAAAAAGAATTAGCCTTTGTAGGGGATGAGGACTTCCTAGAGAATGTTAAGCAACAGAATGTCAAATTGGGCTTTGTTTTGTTTTTGGTACCAGGATGGAACTCAGGACCTTGCGCTTTCGAGGCAAGTGTAGTGCCACTAAGCTAAATCCCCGCCCCATCAAATCAGTATATTTAGAAGGTAATTGTAAGTAAATTTGCAATCCCACCTTCTTATAAGACTGAGGCAGAAGAATCAAAAGTGTGAGGCCAGCCCGGGTAACTTAGACCCCATCTCAAAATAAAAAGGGTTAAAGGGGATGGGGCAGGGGTAAAGGTATAGCAGAGTGGTAGAGCATTTGCCTAGCATGTACAGGACCCTGAGTTCAATCCCTGCCACCACCAAAAAAAAAAAAAAGGAAGCAAAAAGTATTGTCCTGGAAGTGGAGGATGGATTAAAGGGACAAGATAACCAAATACAGTGGTTGATTTCTAGCAGCAAACAGAGTTAGATGCGAACCACATCAAATTCAGTGTTGACCTTATGGGAAAATTTGGTGTGGTTCTCATCCAGTTCAGTTTGCAACGAGAATTGGCTTGATGAACCAAGGTCCTACATAGGCTGTTACAGTCCTCTGGGTAGAAAAGCTGTTGCGCACACATTCCCAGAGCTGCTTCTAGCTTTCTTCCCAGGAACACCCCTACCAGCCTCACCAGTATGGCAACCTGATTATAGTGTAATTGGCTTTCTTCCAGCTGCTTCTGCATGCACAGCTTCCTCCTCTCCATAAAGAGTAGGAACTCTTTGGCTTCTTCTTCCTTTGTCTGTGCAGCCCACTCTACTACATCTTGTTCTGAAAAGGCTGCCATTCACTAAGCACTAACTTTCTGCTGAGCACTGCTGACCATTTTACATCTTATTTTAATTCTCATTGACCCTGTGAGGATGGGCACTGTGACAGGTATCTTGCATTTAAGAGCACTGAAGCTTAAAAGATGGAGTAACTCGTCTAAGGTTACACAGTGCAAATAGCAGAGTTAAGATTTTCAACTCCTGATTTTTCTCTCCAAAGTCTCTGAAAGTGGGAAAAGGGGGTCCCAAGATGCACTGATCATCTGAAAGGAATTTATAAATTTGGGAGTTTCCTGACCAACTATTTTTTCAAAGTTTGTCTTAAGCTGGGAATGATATTACATCCCTGTAATCAGCACTGTAGGAGGCTGAGGAAGATGGCAAATTCAAGTCCAGCCTGAGCAACTTAGCAGAACCCTCTCTCAAAATCTACATTTGTTTTTCTTTTTGTTCTTTTGAGATAGGGCCAGGGATGTAGCTCAGTGATTCCGGTGCCTGCCTCGCAAACACAGCGTCCCAAGTCTGATCCCCTTGATCCCTGGTACCAAAAGAAAAAAAATGTACTCTCTCTGTTGTTCTTTTGAGATGGTCTTGCTGTGCAGTTCAGGCTGGCTTGAACTCACTGTGTATCCCAGGCTGGCATCCAACTCACGGCAATCCTCTTGCCTCAGCCTTCTGAGCATTGGGATTACAGGTGTATGCCACCGTGCCTGGCTAAAATTTAAATTTTTTAAAAAGGGTTGGGGGTATAGCTCAGTGCACAGGCCCTAGGTTCCATCCGCAGTACAAAAAAGAAAAACAGTTTTTTCTTTAATAAAGAGAGTCGTTTTTTTTAAGCTGGCTAAGCAAGGTCTGAAGAATATAGCAGTGAAAAGAGGTTACATTATTGGCTTACACATCCGGTAAGTAGCCAGACATTGTGACACACACCTATAATCCCAGCACTTGGGCGGCTGAAGCAGAAGGATGGCCATGAGCTCAAGGCTAGCCTGAATTATGTAGCAAGACCTGTCTCAAACAAACAAAATCTTTAATAATTTTTAGCTTTAGGTTGTGTGGGGGGAAAAAACATGGACATACATGCAGCCATATTAATGGTCTAAAGAACTCAAAAGAAATTGTATGTTCAACTCCAGGGTTTTTCTAGGTAGTTTAAATATATATGCTGTAATCAAGGGCACTTAGGAAATTTAAAATCTAAAGATGAGAGAGAAATATGGGTATACAGTTGGCACCAACAAGGTCCACCAGTCAGAAGTGGGCTCTGAAGCTGAGGACTATTGAAGGGAGGAGGAGAGTCCCCGAGGAATCTCACATTCAGTTGGTCAGCCAGGCAGACCCTTACACCTACTTGCAGGTGAGACCTAGAAACACCATCAGAGTAATGTGTAGCCAGACACACTGTGCTGTCACGGTTTCAGTAACAGAGTGTCCATAACACTTGATTGTCAACTCAAACCTGTATCTCAGTGGTAAGGAAGACAGAAAGGGAGCTGCTTCCTGGTGAGGAGAGGTAGGGATGACTCTTGCAGGATGCAGGTGGTGAGGAGGGACATCCCTTGGAGAGATGCCATGTGGGTAGCTGGGTATGAGATTAGTCTCGCCCTGCCCCACCCCACCCTTGACCCTCATCTTATCTCCTATCGACACAGGCAAGTCTGCTGGCTTGTGAAGGCCTGGCAGGAGTGAGTTTGGTCCCCACTGCGGCCAGCAAGAAGATGATGCTCAGCCCAATCACCAGCAAGCAGGCCGAGAATGGCGAGCGGGCAGGCAGCCCCGATGTGCTGAGATGCTCGAGCCAGGTACAACACTTGAGCCCCTTGTAGCAGCTGGGTTCGGGGGGACACTGCCAGGAGATGCCAAGCTTGAGTTTTTGGTGCTTCCCTTTAGGGAACCAGGAAAGAGCATCCAGCTGGGTAGCAAGTGAATGGACATTTTAGAAGTGAAGGAAGATCTCTGCTCATGGAGCTCTTTTTTTTGCGGTACTGGGGATCAAACTCAGGATCTTGCGCTTGCTAGGCAGGCATGGCACCACTGAGCTACATCCTCGGCCCATGCACTTGGAGCTCTTCAGACCAGGGTGCAAGCAAGGAGACAGATGGCGTGCCTTCTCTCCATCTTTGGGGCTCACACTTTCATTTATAGATTGTCAGAACGCAGCATTTGGCCTTGTGTTTTGAAATGGACTGTGAGTTTAGATTTGATTTGTCTTCAAAGGGCCACCGAAAAGAAAGTGATAAGTCCCGGAGCCGTAAAGATGACGACAGCTTGGCTGAGGCCTCTCATTCAAAAAAGACTGTTAAAAAGGCAGGTAATGGGGTACTTCCCCAAACTGGTACAGTTTGGGAATGGGGTGATCTTCCTCTTTCTTCCCACCGTGACTCACCCTGGAGCTTTCTCTGAACACTCTGGTCCCTCATAGCCAGTGTGTGTTCCCTTGATTTCACCCAGAGTCCACTTTGGTAGTTGATGTCTATCCTTGCCAGAACATCCTTGGTACAAGTTGGGAGCATGGCCTGTTCTGTGCCCCTGTGGCAAAGATGTGCCAGCTCTAGCTGCAGCCATCCTTAGAGTATTTGCTGTGACAAGGAAGGCAGGTTACCTACTCCACTTCCTTCCCCGGACATGCTCTAAACCTAAGGAAAATGGGTGATGGCAGCACCTTTAGACCACATCAGAATGAATCTTCATCTG